TAAAATATGAACATGAAATAAATCGTAACATTTCTATCTAGCTAACAGTTTCTACAATTAGTGATTAATAGTAAACGTCTTTATTCACTGTTTTCATCACTGGAATCCTCGCAGCTCTTTTCGTCAGACGCAGATTCATTTCTTCTTTCCTCATCATCATCATCAGCATCGTCATCCTCGGCGTTCTAGAGCTCGTCATCTTCACTGCCATTCAGTGAATTTGAAATGCAGCATTTCTTGAAAGATTTCACAATCTTTGTGCTTCGATGCTTTTCCAGGCAGCAGAAACTCAGTGCAACAATGTGCGGTGCAGCACGCTTAATTTTACCTGTCGGGGTCAATTCACGGTCATCGGCGAACTTTGCACTCGAATCTAATGCGCCATCGAATCTAATGCGCACCCCAATTTTGAATACTACATTTGGCCAAAAACGATGCGCATTAGATTCGCGTAAATACGGTATATTGAATCGGGAGAAAAACATGCCAATGTAAAATTTACAATTAGGCTGAAACTCAAACTTAGATTAGCAGAAATTTTGCCATATATAACCATACATGTTTAAAACTATGCCAATTTAAGGTTGTTTTTTGATTAATTTTAAATAGCTGTTATTATAGTTATCTTAGAAGCAGTAGTACTGTTCTCTTAGTTAACATGCAGATAAGAAATGATTAGAAAACAAACAGGCATTTAAAGAAAAAAAATTCCTGCAAATAAAAAAAGGAACTTTATGCTAAGAGTAGCGCACTTTATTTTAAAATTGAGTAAGAACTATTAAATTTTGTAATGTGCAGTGTAAAATGCATACTGCAGTAACATTGTCTCTTCCAAATTATAGCTATCTTTCACACACAGCTCATTTTAAACGCTGGTTCTTCAAATTTAAAACGCTAATTTCTATGTTGTCAATTGCATCTCCGCGCTCAGTGGCATCATTGCTACGTCATCACTCCTCACTGCATGTTTCAGGGGGAAACGCTCTATGAGCTAGCCCTTCTCTTTAGTCCTGGACTATTACAGCAAAGCAGACGAGGACTATCTGCCTAAAGGAAAAATGTCTTTGTGAAAAACTTTAGAAAGGAAATTGACTGTTATTCACGTTACACTTGGGAAAAATCACGAAAACCAGCCATGTAACCAGTCCGTTCGACTGGGTTCTAGACCAGGTCGAACTCCCAGCATTTAGCAGCCTCAACTACTCGGCGATTTGAAAACTTTTATTTCAAGATAAATACGCATTTTAACTTTCCAATTATATTTTACTTTCTTTTTAAACTGTTCGAGAATTAGTTATAAAGAAGATATTTAAAAATATAAATATTGTTATCTTGAACTATGTATATGCCCTGCAAATGAGAAACTTACATATACACATCAGTGAAATTACAGTATCTTAAATAGTTCTTTTAGTATCTGTTCTAAAGAAGCAGTGTTCTAAATTATTGTTTAAATATATTTAGGTTTTCTTTAATGACAACAATGGGATTAATTGCTCTTTTCGTTATTTTAAAAATATAATTTTTTGCGTGAATATTATATACATGCACGTATGTAACTAAAGTTCAGTAACTTTCAGCTATTTCTGATTTTTTTGATAAAACTATAATATTTATTTAGATATAACACAAGTAAATTTGTCAGAACGCAATTAGCGTAAGTAAACTTACTACTCCAATTTGCTTTACACCTTAACATCACATTTAAATGCATACACTGGACAAACAAAGGTTTAAAGCTTCTAAAAAACCGATAAATCAAGCTACAGAATTGAAACAAAAACAAAGGCAGATATTGCTGATAGATAATTAAAATATATCATTTTCAGGTCAGTTTGATGATCCTGCTTGAAAAAATGCCTTAGAAACATATTAACAATCTTTACAAGCAATTTGTTTTTTATATGATAAACTTTTCCAATTAAACTTTTTATGAAATAATATTATGAATCTAACGCACATTTGAACATTAGCTTTAAAGAATATTTAGACACACATCGAAAATAATGAAAAGCAAAATTTAAGACGTTTTTATTTGCAAGAAATATGGCAATGTACCAAATAATTTTGCGTATTTCAGTCATTAGTAATAAAGTGTTGTTTGGTTTAAATATCTGACTTTCCGAAGAAGTTCTAATAAACATCGTTTCTAGACGTAATGTGTTTATTATATTCAAAGAACGCTCATTTCAACATATAAAGTAGAGGATAATGCGCTAAAATCCATTTACATCATCAATAGTCATGTATGCAAAATATTTTCGATTATACAAAATCCTTTTCTCCATAATAGCAAACATATATAATTATTTTACTTAATCAATAGGATTCAAGTGGATGTTTCTGCTTGAATCTAAACTGCATTTGTTGTACTTTCTTCTTTTTATTATTTTTCTCACGCCAGTGGCAAGAAGCATATATGTTTTTTAAAAACTAAAGTCTATATCAGACATTACCTAATTAGTAAAAGCATTTTTCAAGCGAATATAGAATTTTATTTTTCACTTTTTTTATAAAGAAGTGTAGTCCCATCTGAAGTTAAACCCTGAACTTATTCAGTGGAGCTCCATCTGAAGTTAAACCCTGAACATGACATTGTATAAATGAATTAATGTCCTTTTGATCATTAATGTAGCTTTCAGAAAAATTTTTTCAATTCAAACTTATTTATTCTTATAAAACATATAAAATAAAAAATAGCATATAAAGTTAATAGGCATATTCTTTTTGATAACCTTTTAGTAAATATTCTTGTTCAAAACTGAAAAAAAAAAAAAAAAAAAAAAACGAAAATTTTCGTTAATCTAGAAAATAGCTAATTTACAAAATTAAAAAAATTCTTTTGTTGTTCTTTTGTTAAAATGTCCAAAATTTATATTTCATATTAACTTAAATTTTTCTCATTAACAAGGATATGAAAAGAATTTTTTGGTCATTTACGTCTAGAAACGATGTTATCATTATTTTTTATTATAACTCGGAATATTTTTATATAAGAAGAAAGTATTCAAAAACTGAGATTTTTTTTAATTTTACAAAAGCTTTATCACTCAAAATAAGTCCTCTTTTATGAATTTCCAGTTTTTCCTCATAATAAAGGCCTTACAAATCTCAGTACGCCGCATACATGTGTCAAGTGTTCATTTTATAAACTTCCAGATCAAAATCAACGGATCCATTTAAATATTTTTCCTGGTTTAAATTTAGTTTAGTTAAAAATTAGCTGCGGAAATTTGAAAAAAATTAGCGGAAAAAAAGTATAAAACAAATTTTGTATTACCTCACTACCAAACTTCGATGCATGAGCCTTCACTACTCAAAGCACAACTCACCGACAGTTAGTTTCAGGTCACGTTTGTCACTGCGAAGAAATTTCGTTGCCACGGGACATTCCTGCCTCGAATATTTTACAACACTTGTCATCTTTGATACTATTGTGGATCGCGGATCTTTAGAAATATCTTCAATATCACACTGGATGAGCCGGACAAAATTTAACACTTTGTTTAAATAAGTAAAAAAAACAATCAAATATATAGCTGTAAATATCTCAAGTTTCGATTTACTTAATTATGGCAAAGCACTCAAAGCCTACCAGCTTAAGAGGATGGCTGCCTTCGTAAGACACTTTTCAAGGGAAATTGGCTCGTATCCACATACGGGAAAAACAACGAAACATGGAAAATCCGAACCCATGTCAAATTACAGGTGTTTAGTGATTTTAACCGTTCAACCACCGGTGGGCCAAAAACAACCAGCGTGAGGAGAATGCAAGGATGAGACAAAGTCTCCTAATACCAAGAGAAATACCGTTACCTGTAATATAAAGAGCAAATACAGTTCTGAATTCAGGATTCACTCTGATAACTCTTTGAAGCGAACTCAGTTTCTGATGTAACTGAGTGTACCGCTTGAAGCAGTCATTTCTATTAGGTTGTTCAGAATACTGTAAGCTATGTAGGAACTCACATATGGATAATGCGAGAAACGTACATACATTCATGCAAATCCTTCGTCTTTTAATTTCTTTAAATATAATGCAGGGCTCTAATATTTGATGTCAACAATTTGAAAAGTGAAATGGCATTTTATAGTGTACGACGCAAAATGCCAAAAATAAATTATTAGCCCTGCTGGGGAAATTGCCCCTGCTTTCAGATTTTATATCACGTGCAAAAGGACGTTTTTGTAAAGTTTTGTGTGTTGCATTTATTTATTAAATATCATGTTCTTCTCGCTTAGAACACAAAATATTTAAAAACAGCTTATCTTCCGAATTCCCGATAGACAGCCTTGACCGCTGGAGATAAACATGATTTTTTTCGTAAAGTGTTGCCACTGCTCGCTTTGAAATCGTTACATTTATTTAATCAAAAATTCGTTAAAGTTTTACATTATATGAAATATATAAAGAAATAAATTCGATTCAAAATTTGGGTTTTGCTCATGTTTGGGTAGACGATTACGTTATCCAAAATTTGATAGCTATAGGTACCATTGTTTTTTACGATGCGAGAAACCATACGTATCTACATTCATGCATATTTTCCTTTATTTAATTTCTTATAAAATAATACAGGGTGATAACATTTGGTGGAAACGTGATTCAGCCTTTTACAGTGATTCAACGCAAAATTACGTTTCGAGACTAACGACCCTTCTGTGTTAAAAAAGAAAAAAAAATGGACTCCTTACTTAATTTATAGAAGAATGGAATAACCATCAAACCGAAGGCATTCGTCTGTCCAACTGTCGGAGCTCGTTCAATACCCATGTATACCACTTTACCTAAACGAAAAGTACTTTTTATAACATGCTGTCGTTTCATGAATTTAAAAGAAGACAAATTTTGGTTAGTGTAAGATATCAGCAAAATTTTAGCTTCTGCTGCTTATATTTTATCATAATTAGTTTCTTAAATGTGTCAAAGTTGCTTGAATAAAATTTTAATTTATTCAATATATATATGAATGGATATTTTTTTCTTTTCTGCTTTACAGGTATTCGCAGTTTTCATATTAGTCTTGTTAGCATCAGCTTACGGCGGAATAATCCCAAAACTTATCGGACACGGCTATCATTACGGTGGTCACCAAGGAAGTTATGGATATTACGGACATGGAAGTTATGGCCACAGCTACGGGCATGGTCACGGCCACGGCCATGGACATGGACATGGTCATGGTCATGGTATTCATGGTCATATTGGCATTGGTTATGGACATCATGGATACGGATATCATGGTTAAAGTGAACCATTATTTTGTGACATAATCAGATATTTCTACAAAAGACTTTCATCGAGCATCTCAGAGACAATTTTTGTGTCATATAATAATTTTAAATTACAGAAACTTCATGTTCTTAAAATTTTCTTTGAAGTACATTTTCTTATAATCAGTTCTTTATTTTCAACCTATGTATCCGATACTTGATTCTAATAATGCAAAGATGTTTGTCCTCATAATAAAAAACATAATTATTCATAATCTAGTAAATTTGTGTTCTACTAAATTAAAGATGTTTTCTTTCCACGTTTAAAAAATTTTGTAATATATCTCATTATATGCATATTTGTATGATCGTATATTCTTTTAATATTGATGAGAATAAAATCGTATTAGTCATGAAGTTATTGCTTAATTTCTTTTTTAAATTTACCTCATTAATATATTCCCACTGAACTGATTTGTGCCATTGTATTATCACATAACCTTTTTCACAACATAGAATCATGTTCATAAGCATTAAACAATTCTTAAGAATTTATACTTAATTCTATTATTTTACTGCTGTTATTGTTAAATTCTGCTTAGGAAACTTAAATTTAAAAACTACTGGTATAGAATTTAAAAAGAGCATTTTATTGCATTGACCTACACTTCAGTTTAATATTTAATCATTAAAAAATTCCATCCATGGTTGGGATTGAAACATTGTGATTTTGAATAGTTCTTTTTTCTCCCTTGAAACAATGAAAGGTATATCCAAATCTATTTTTTCACTTGCACTTCTCCACTTTTTACTTAACATTTTAAACGTGTCCCATAAACGTTCATTTAACTTTACGGTAAATCATGTACTTCCTCAACAACCATGCTTATTTTGGTGACAAGGTCTTCAAGAAAGTCATCTTGTTTCTCGTAAATGAGATGCATTTTCGTTGAGATACATGTACTGCAGTTGTTCGTCATTCATTTGAAAAATTCTTGTAAACAACAAACTCAGTTTCTTGTAAAAACTGCTATCCCAGATATTAAGACGACTTTTCGCTTTTGATATTCTTCATACTTTTTGTACTTCACATTTTATCATAGATTGTATTATGAAAACTGTTACTTTTACCATATTCTATCACTCATTTGTGACTATCAGTTCTATGATACCCTGTATATGTATATATAAAACTTAAGGAGCAGAGAACAATAATTATTAATCAAAAGTAATAGTTATAACTAAAGGCCTATGACTAAATGACAAAGATAAAACTGCGAGTACATATACTTACTATGCATTAAAAAGAAAAATGTGTAATATATAGGCGTATCTTCCATAATAATGACAGTTAAAAGTCTTCTAAATATTACCTTATATTGAGTATTTTACTAATGCTGTTAACTGAGGAAAGATCTCAATAGAATATTGGAATATGCTACAATAACTTTTGGATGCAGAAATATTTTTAAGCTGTAAATAGTACGAAACTAAATGATAAATATCTATAAAAAAAGTTTCATTCTTTTGCTATAATTCATGGAAAATGGGCTAGTACTACTTGGCAAATCTGATTTCTTACGGTGGCATTACTACTATTCACTACTATTAATGCAATTAATCTCTGTCTCTCTCTCTTGAAATTACTGGAAATTTCAGTTGTAGCTTATGCTGTCAAATTTTAAGGTCTTTTTGTTTTTGTTGTTTTTATTATAAATTGAAGATGTATGTTTTCCAAGCAGATCGAATTTTTATGACTGAGCGTTAATTTGTAACGGTTTCTTACAGAAAAGTTGTTGAAATATTTGAAGAGACCTTCTTAAATGTTACCTCATAAGTTCTGTGTCAAACAAAAATCACCAAACAAACAAACCTTCCCAACTGTTCTTGAATCTAACACGATTGTCCACTTTGTAACGTGAATTCAAAAAAATGGAAGCGTTCGTCATAAGAAACTATTTATACACTTTCGTGTGATAAACTTGATTGTGATGCCAGGTTTCCCAGATTTTTCGTTGGTGGCTACAGTATTTTATTCCCGAATTCGTCCATTTATTCAGATTCAGAAAAGATTAAGGGGCATATTTTTTGTGGTGAATGCTTCCAGAAATCACAAAATTGTTGTCATGAACATTTTGGAAAGTCTCTTTAACGCTTTAACAGCTTTTCTATAAGAAATCATTAAGAAGTAAGTCTCATTCATAAAAATTCCTTCTGCTAGGAGAAATTCATCTCCGTTTTGCAAAACATTAACGACTTTCAAAGCTAGCAGGATGAACTGCAACTGTTCAAAGTATATATTACTTGCAGTAACACAGAGATGCCGTAGATATCCAATTAAACCAATTTACCATTAATATCCATTTTATAACTTCCTCAGTGTTTTACTTTTTGGTTACCTGACACATAAATCATAAATGTTGCTTTTGTATATAACAAGCCAAAAGGATAAACTTCAAAAAAGATACAATCCGAATTACTATCGCATTTGCATATATATTGACAGACAGACAGATCTGCACATAGATACAAGTAAAAATTTATAACATTGTAAAGATCTTATTTTATTCTAACCAATTATTTTTTATTTCAAAATCTTTCCTTTCCCTTCTGATTTTAGTTTCCTTCCAGAATGTAAATTTGAATGACGTAGTACGCAAATCTGTATTTAAGCAGCTGTTTTAAAAGTTTGTAGTAGGAGAGTTAGTTTGAAATTTATGCCGCGTGTTTAAACTAGTAGCCTTGTATAAGAATAGTTTGCGCTTTTAGCCACTCTCTTTAAATTATATTGATATTCTAGGTTCGGTTTTGCTCTGTGCAGCCGATTTAACGGTTTAGATAAATAAGGAACCATTGTGATTTTACATCTTATTTTTCCGTTAAGTTACTTAGTCACAAGTAGTGTCAGATTGTGAGCACAAAGAGAGTGCATGTTTTATTAAGTTCAAATAAAAAGGTTACTTAAACCTTCTTCTGCTGTCATCTGTTCTTCCAAGACCTCGCAGTCTTTTCAGGTAGGGTCTACAGTGTATGATTCCAAAACATACTAGAAGACTCTACAATATATATTCTGATAATATAACGACGTCCAAAAACAGTGTGCAGTAGACACTTAACTAACCGGGAAAATGCCGGGGACGAAATCCGTGGTTAGGCCAAGATCATCCGACAGTCAATTAAAAGACACACGCAAAAGGGATAACAGAAAAGTGCTATTAGAATTAACAGAAAAGTGCTATTAAAAATTAATTGTATTTCTAAGTAGTTTAATTTAAAGAAACATCATTTGGTTATTTAAATTAAATTATCATTTAAAACGAGAAGAATACACTTTGAAGTAGAAAGAAAAATTTTTCGTATAAGTAACTCCTCACAGCTGGAAAAAGAAGATAAATGACTGGGGTAACTCCAACTGCGCGGATGAAAATCCCCCCCCCTCGTCCTGGTATAGTCCAACTGCGCCAAACAAAATTTCTTTCTTCCCGTTGCCTACAGGGTTACAATTTCACTTTTTGAAGCCAATTGTAGCCAAGAGGAAAATAAAAATAAAGAAATAGAATTACATATTACGATCACAAGATTAAGTAAAGAATATTTAGCAAGCAGGCTAATTACTTGAATAACAGTAATAAAGCGAGAGCTAACAAAGAAAGTAAAATATATTAGTAAACATACATATTAGAATTACAAACATCTTTGATTAATTACAATATTACAGGAAAGAATATTATAATAATATCATTAAATTAAATAATTATAAAGCATACCAATTGTATTTTTAATACAATTGGTATGCTATTGCAATAACAGTCATGGTGTCTGAACTAGACTGGAAAATATAGTATAGCTCACTGGCGTTCAAAAGATTATTCCGTATCAAAGTGTGCTAGAAATAGTTTTTGTTAATTAAAGTAATCATGTAAATGTTTGCCGAAATTAATAGTTAAATTTAAAAAAAAGCTTAGCATGAAATCTATTATAACAACATTAGTATGCGTTTGGAACTCTGACATATAAATTGTAAATAAATTTTAATTATTATCATAACATACATGTGAAACTTGAATACAGTGCAACAATATGTGAAAAAGGAATGGATTAAAAGGGAACTGAAAATTCCAAGATATGAATATAAAGGAGTTCGTTTTTCCCCTTTTTTTGCTAAATATGAAAATTCTGTAGACGCTCGTAATTATCAATTTATTAATTAAATGTGCATTAGAAATTAAATGCATGCCAAAGTACTTCAAGTAGAGTAACTGGAAAACAGAATAAATATTTAAACGTTTCTAGTATTAAAACATGGAATTTGTAAGAAAGTTAAATAAACTTAAAATAACCGTAAATAATAAACCATAAATAGTTAAATAACTTATCAATGACTAAAAATGGAAAGCTTAATATGGCAATATATTGCAATAATATTAGTGTGAATTTAGAACCACTTAAGAAATCCAATTTTTAGATTTAATAAAGATAATTGTTTAAATTAAATTAGAACTATTTACTTCAAATGGTAAATTTGATAGTTAAAATCATTCTACTATCTAAGATGATTTGTAATATTTATTTAGACAAGAAACTTATTGAAGGTGCGCTACAAATCCGATATTTGATAGGTTGATTATGTATCAGTTTTGCAATGTCATTAATCTATCAATTTTATTATTCAAAACTGATATATATATATATATCAGCGACTAAAATCTACAACTTGGAAAGTTTTTAATTCTTACAGAGAATAAAAAAGATCTGGCTCATCATTTTTTTAATCATCATAAAACTTTAAAATGAGTGTAAAAGAAATTCATTTTCACTTTAGCACACGTCAGATTTTAAATTAGTATTTGTTTTGTATGCCCAATTTTTACAATATTGATAAAATGAAAAAAGTGGCTTGCAGTCTCGATAAAATGTCCCATTAATGGCGATAAATGACTTTTTGTAGCACCCAATCTTCTTGGTAAAGAAAGAGGGGACAGGAAACGTTGCGCAGTTCGTGAGTTAGATAAGAGGGGGAAGGAAATCTTCGATCAAATTTGGCGCAGTTCGTATCCTACCAAATGACTATCCACTTAATTTGTTTTTGAGATTTACAATTTATTTTTAAGGGATGATTTATTAGTGTTTGTAACAAGATGGCTCAGGATAAACCGAACCAAACGCAATTGCGAAAGCACATGAACCGCATGGCTATGTTATATGGGAGCCCAAAATAAACCAAACCAGACATGATAAGACTTCACTTGCTTTGGGCTCGGTTTATCTATGGCCATCCGATATATTACGGAATATAGACAATTAAATTACATGACAATATATATAAAAACAATTTCTAAATATTGGAAAATCATATAATGTCACTGTTTTCCGTCACATTTTATTCTCCCTTTTATATTTTTGCTAGAGACGTTACT